TGTTCATGTGCGTACATTTTGTTTTCTTTGTACATAGGATTAATTTTGTCTCACAAATTCAAAACTTTTATGCTTTATGATCATGGAGTAATAACGCTGTACTTACATGAGTTTGTTGCAGACAGGTGGTAAGAAAAAGGCTTTGTTCTCTTCTATCCATTTGTTTACATTAATTGGCTGGACCTCCATGACTGTGGACAGAACTCCTTATAGTTGTTAGACACTTTCCGGCTTTGACTCACAGATTGGACAGGCAGTTGGAATCTTGTCACTAGACCTGGCATTTTAAGGACCACTGCATGTTTACTGAACAAAGTTCAAAAGAGTCAAAGGTAAAGTCAGACAGTCGTAGTTACAAATGCAGAAACAACTGTTAAAGTGAACTGGATCCAAAATAGATTTTTAAAAGTAAACATATTTGTTAAAACTATTTCATGGGTTATTTATTTCATAACGTTCTGATCAGCAACTATGCTATTTAATTATTTGCAACGTCAACCCGTGCACGCTCTGACGTATTTTTAATTTGCACAGTAGTGTCCCCTTACGTAAAATTCCTTCGTCATTTACAGTCCCACAAAGAGGCAAATAGGTTAAGATTGTAGCTTTGCACACGTGAGCTTGGCTGGTGCAGCTTTTCTCACTCCACTTATTCCTGGGGACCTCATTAAACTGTATGTCAAGCAAAAGACTTTGTTTTTTTCTGCTTTTGAATAGAGTAAAGAAAGATTTGAACTCTTGTCTTGATTTTACTGCAATAAGGGCTACATTAGAGAAATTTACCCTCACTTCCTGTCCTGCTGACAATGGATTCACCAAACAGGAAGTGAGGGAAACTTTGCAAAAATGGCACAGAAATAAAGAAAACTGACATTAGTTCTAGCCTTCCCCTTCTCTACAACAATTTTGTTTTTATTCTGTATGTGTTGCTTTTGTAGACTTCCCCTAACCTACAAAACAAAATGGAACAGAGCGCCACCTCCGTGTGTAAAATCGTTTTTTAAAATGCATAAAACAAGGGATAAACAGTATGCGCTCACAAGGAAATGTTTTCATCACACTTTAACAACACTGTCTGTTAACCCAACATTTTCCCCCCGACTATGTTCCACGGCTGCCTCCAATCACCGTCCGCAGTCAGCTAAGATTGACGCGTTTCAGGGGCACGCCCCCTTCATCAGATGATTCTGTTCCCTTTTGTTTTTTATGTTCGTGTCGTAAGCCCCAGAGCCTTGGATGAGCAGCCCCTCAAGTTTGTGTGAAAAACTTTGAATTATTGAACAGCGAGTGGATTGTTCAGATGGCAGCCATTAGCGCCAAGAGTTAACGAAAACTTCTTCCCCTAACCTACTGTCTAGTAGAACATTGTCAGTAGGACAAGAAGTGAGGGTTACTGCACCAGAGCCCCAGATGGCACTAAAAATTTGACAGGGGTTCTAATCTTCTACTATTTGATCCAATACTAGGAAATAGCATTTTGGCTGGACATACATTTTAAATCATTGGTGGATCCATTGATACAAACACTAGTGCCCATGGCAGGATTCTCTAGTTACTTCAAAAGATACTGCAGCTTAAGCTGTGAACATTTTAAAAGTCAGTACTCATGCTGTCGTATGACTGAGGCCTGAGGAACTAACATACCTAACCAACCCTTAAGTGCCTCCAATAACTAATAAGGGGCCCGGTATTGTGTAAGTATTGTGCTGCTGCAGGACTTGGGCCGCGTCTCGTCCTGGAGTGCTCTGTGTTGATCT